TCTGCAGGCTACAGCATGATGAAGGCACGTTCAGATGAAGACAAGTCAAGGATGATCCACACTCTCAACCTCACTGTTTAACCCTGAGCCACAAGTCCAACTCAAAACCTTGAGGTTTCCCTTTCATAGAAGTTAGGCTGGGGGCCTCACCAGGGCATCAGAGCAGTTCTGTGTCTTTATACCAGCTCTCTGCCAGGGAGAGGCACAGGGAACAGAAGCAGAGTAAGGCAGTTTCTGCTTTTCCTCCTTGACTAAGGGAAAAGAGACAAGCCTGGGACTTTTACGCCGGGGACAGGAATTAGGAAAACAGAACAGGATACCAAAGTTAAAGCATGGTGCCAATGCAACAAACACATCTTTGGATAAGATTATGATGGCATTTCACCTTCTGGCATGGGGACAGAGGGTGTCCCTCAGTAGTTTCTGACAGAACGAGGCAGAGCTGACAGGAAAGAAGACTGTGATGTATCACATTTACTGGGGGCAAGATCTGCTGTCAGGAAGGGAGAATTTCTTTCTGGGTTGCATACTCTCATAGTAACACATAGCTCATCATAGAAACGTTACCTCTGTATTTCCAAAAATCTAATGAATCAATGCTTACATGACAGTATGTTAAATGGCAAATTAGGAAAAGTGGGGAAAAAAAATCTCAATGTTGATCAAACACTTTCTTCAAGTGTGCTAAAGGAAATTTGACACAGGCTTTCACTAGGATTTTTCCAGCTGCAAAATTGGCCAGGCTCCTAAGATGAAATATTGTAAAATTATGTACCTTTAGAGACACCAAATGGAGACACTGAAAACAACACCTACCTCAAATCAACTCAGAAAATTTTTAACAGAAAAGACCATCTCCTTGCTTTGCAGCACTCTGTCCAAATTCCTGGACCAAAAACACATGCTTTACTGTTAAAACTTAATAAAATCACTCTGAACTGATTTTACACCATTGGCTTTCATTTCGACTATGGCAATGTCTGAATTCAAGAAAACTGTATTCAGTACCATAACATAAAAATTGGTATCATTAAAACTTTTAATGTATCAGCTCATATAAGGAAAGGGTGAATGCGATGGTGCAGGAAATGTAATTAGAAGCCCACAGGACCTTCTGGAGTTTCCCATGAACGTCAAAGAAATGGGTTAAAAAAAAAAAAAAAAAAAAAGTGATTAGCCTGTCCTGACATTGTCACCTTCCCTGGAATACTAGAGGACAAGATGCATCACATCTCACTGCTTCGACTTCAGACTGTTTAGAAGTTTTTAAAAGTTAGAAAGAATTCCAAAGGGAGACTTTTTCCTTCAAATCAAGTTTAACCCATCTTGTAAACTCCTTAAAACAACATATTGCACCAACCAGAATAAAATTGAGCCACTTGATAGAGAAAGTTGTTACAAATGAAGGAGATGGGAAACAACCTCACACCTGCATTTCTGCCTCCTTTCACATAACAACTTTGCTGTAGGTTATCTGATGAAAAAAAAGCAGAGCTGAGAACAATTGTGCCTTATTCAAGATTATTTGTATTTTAAGAAGTATATATTCTATGCAGGAATACCTACTCCTTCTTCAACACAAATTAATTTTGCAGAAACAAATTATGCTTGCAATAATCTCTCTAACAAGATAGTATTAAGTGCTTTCTTACTGGAGAAAGCCATACTCCCCAGGAAAAGACTAAAAGACTGAATTTCTACAATGTTTTACACAAGGAGGTATCACTGATGATGGCAGTAACAACAGAGGGTAGTAGAAGACACCACTAGTGCTGTAATCCAGGCTTGATTCTGTGCCTGGTGTTTAATGCCTCCATTAATTATCTGGACAATGGAAAAATGTTACCCCCCTGCAAGTTTAAGGATAATACAAAACTGACCAATATATCAGGGCTGCTATTGAGAAGGACCTGGATAGGCTGGATAACTGGGTAGACAGGAACCCAAAGTTCAACAAATGTCCTGCATGTTGTTAGAAACAACCCCAGATATCATTACATGCTGGAGGCTGATCAGCTAGAAAGCAACTTCGCCAAAAACGACAATTGGGTCTTGGAGGACAACAACTTTACTGTGAATCAGCAATCCACTCTTGTGGCAGAAAGGGCCAACAGTCTCCTGGGTTGCATAACTACCAGCAGTTCATGAGAAGTGAACCTTTAACTAAACACTGGTGAAGATGCATCTGGAGTATTGTGGAGTACTAGGAATGGATCAGGCTCCCCTCTACTAGACAGATATGAATTACTGGAGCTAGTGCAGTGCAGGGCCATGAAGATGATTGAGAAGATTATTTCATATGAGGAAAAGCTGGAAGAATTAGGATTGTTCAGCTTGGAGAAGTCTTGGGGGGAACTTATCCATGCACATAAATACCTGATGGGAGGGTATGAAGAGGGGTCCAGACTTTTCACTGACAGAAAATGAGAGAATGGGCACAATTCAAAGCTTATGAAATTCCATTTGAGCACATGTAAGTTGTTTTACTGGGATGGAGGTCAAACACTGGAACAGATTGCCCAGCAGAAGGTATGCAAAACACAATTGGATACACTCTTTGACATCTTGCTTTGTTGAACCCCTTTGAGAAAGGCTTTGGTCACCCTCAAGAGGTTCCTTCACAAGACATATGACTATCATGCTTTTTTCCCCCCCATGATGTTGTAGCTCAATTTATTCAGCTAAAAAAAACGAAGATTAAATCACACCAGAGAGAATAGAGAGAACAGGCAAGTACAAGAATTTGCTGCCATATGGGCCTCATTATTTATTATCAGAGTGTAAAAATTTTGCCATATGCAATGGGAATAAAGGTAGGCCTATAGGTAAATTCCTAAAATAACTAAAGCATGTATTATTGCATCTGCTAACTACATTTTAAAAACCAGATGAGAAGTAGTTTGGTGCACAAAAATACATTAAAGAAATGGAAAATGTTATAAGAGTACCAGAAAGCAAAGGCATCAAATAACGAGGCATTTTATGTGCCACTGGCTTGCTTTACCTCACTGTATGCGCTTTGATTGCTTGAATCTGAATAGAGCATTTATAGCCCATCAGGAAAAGGGGCTGAAACTTGGGAACTATCAAACAGGCTGTGTCCAATGCCAATGTCTGAAATGTCTATAAATGGTCAAAGTCAAGCTGTTGCCCTGACTGAAATATATACATTCCATTTACTTTTATTTTTTAACAGCATCATAATCCTTCAGGCAGTCCTGGTCCTAGAAAAGCTCGCTTTTCTCAGGTGATTAAAATCACTATGCTTTTGGCTGTGTGTTTAAGACTACCACAAAGGTGTGCTGTAATATAACCATGGTGTCCCACCAATGAAGTAACAGAGCATCCAAGCCATTTTTTTAATTGAAATGGAAAAGGTAAGAAAGCGAGGGGCTGCAGGCTGAGTCAGAAAAGGATGAGAAATAACTGCAACATCAATGTAGTTTTAATAAAGAAAACTGAAGAAACATTTTTAATTACAAAATCAACATAGGAACGTGCAAGGTGGGACCATCTGCTGTTGCTGCACTGCTCTGAATATTCAGTATGTATTAAAAAAATAAGATTAGGATTGATAAAAAACACAGAAGTTCAATTACAGCTTTTTCCCTAGAGAAATAGCATGAAAGGAATGGATGTTCTTACGTGCTGCCTAGCACAAGGGTACTGACACTGTTAAAGATAATACTGCAGTTGAACAGATCAGAAACAAGGCTAAGCACAGAGGCACCATGGGAAAGGCATGTCTAAATTGGCAGATGACAAAACACAAGAAGTGAGAACTCTACTGACGTTGTTTATAAAATCATCACAACTAATTCCAGGTATTCCTACTGTAACTTTTGAAGTTTTGGATGTTACTGTGGCTTAGATGAACAAATACATTAATGATATGAATGACAGGACTGGCATCACTGACATCCTCCATTCAGTCAACCAACACAGAGGTGTCACTGCCCCACATTCCTGGAAGGCTGTTCTTCCTTAGACTCATCCCTAGTCCCACAAGCTCCACGTCCACTAGAAAACTCACAATAAGAAAAGAGGAAGTCAACATCAGAGCCCAAATTAGAGACTCAGTGCTCAAAACAGTCAGCCATGACTGTCTCTCTGTCTAAAGAGTAGGGCAAATCAAGAACAATAATCAAAGTTGTTGTTTTTCAACATGAGAATACTGTCTGTGTATACAGACACAACCTTACACACACACAAACTCACAAGCCTACGTCCTTTCCACAACACTGACAGAATGAAGCAGCAGATTAGATTGTCCTCACACAGGGTTGGCAGCTTTACAACAAAAAAATGTAAAACGGGATGGGGAGAGGTGTGGCAGATTAATTTAAAGAGTATAAGTAAGAACACTAATTAAAAGAGATGATATACAGTCTGCTCTCAATCCTGTTCTTAATACATTCCATGGATTTGTGGTATTTCACTGTTCTTCCATTTCCCTTCCTACTCCTTACCTGCATATACTGAAAGCTCACAAGATCAGAGTCTACCTCTGCCTGCACTGTGACTGGCTCAGCAGGATTCAGGCTCTTAGTGGCTCCTCTACAACACATCTACCTTATCTTACTGGAACTGTATGTAAAACACTGCAACCTAGAGGGAGCAGGGGATGAGAAGAAAAAAATGGAAGTAGAAAGAAACAGAGGTCATATTAACTCCCCTGTTAATTGCAGGGTAGTTGGACTAGATGGCCTTCAGAGTTCCTTTCCAACTCTAAGGATCCTATGATTCTCTACTTCCCAAGATTAATACAGAATGAAGGAAGGTCAATGGAGAAATGGATGCTAAAATTTTAAAATGGGGTATGAGTTACTGCTGGTATGTCATCGTGGTTGTTTATTTAATTAGCACATCACAGTACCTTGCATGCCTGAGATCGAACAAAGATGAGTGTGAACAGACATCATGGAAAACTAAAGATGTATTAAACAATAGAAAAATGATACTTCCCAATAAAACAAAGTATATACAAACATTATGTTTACCTCAGATCCTAAACTGAGAGAGATTATTTCATCCTCAAACGCAGAATGTGTATCAATATGAGGAGGAATTCCTGCACACACAAAAAACATCATTATATTAACAGAAAGGTACCTGTATGGATGCCCTTACACGACAGGATATACTGCTGAACAACAAAACTTATCATAAAGGCGGGACTTGCCTTCCAAAACAATTCAGGGCAGGATCAGTTCATCTGATTTACAGATTAGATGTACAGTTAACTGAAGTCTCTCCTCTGATCAGTGGAAACATCTCAAAGACAGTTCAGAGCACCCAAAGGCCTCGCTCAACCTCTAAAGACTCCTAATATTTTCCTTGCTGCAGCAAGCACCTGAAATCATCATGTTCTCTTTTCAGCTTTAAACTGTTATAATATACTGGGTGTCTTTGGGCCTTAGATCGCCTACTGTATTTCTCCCACAGACTCTTCCCCTAGAAGGAATCAGCCCAAATTCTCCTTGTATCACCAGGTGAATGACCTGTGCAAAAGTTTCAGCTTCAGAATTAGGACCTACTTCGAAAAACAGATACTATCAGAGTCAAACCCTGTCCCTCTGCTTCGCAGTTCCCAGGAGAAATCTACACACCATTGCTAGGGTTACCTCAATAGATGTGCTACCCAGGGATTAGTATGTAAGAGCAATCGCGCACATTTGAGAATTTACAAACAGACAGCAATCTCTTTCTTTTTCAAATAGAGAAACTGGCATTCCTTGGAGCCTGAGCCATGTTTTAACACAAAAAAAATGCTGAAAAAGCATTGTGCAAGCCTCAACAAGATCTCACCACAAGGTGGGGAACTGCAGCCAGCAGAGGAGCAAAGCCTGAAGACAGAACTGCAACTGCACCTTCTTTCATCAGACAGATAACAAGTGATTCCTACTTGGTTTAAGAAAACACAGTTTGACTCACTCATTAAAAACTCTACTGACATTCACTTTGGACACAACCAAATATCTTGATTGAAAACATTCTTTCCTAACAGAGTCAGTCAGCTTTATAAAACATCCTTCCTTATGAGTATGCCACATTTTACTTTCAGATACAAGTATGGTGAATGCCATTATTCTCAGTAAAAGCAATACAAATGTTTTAAGAGGCCAACTTCTACACTGATAAACAACAACACATCCCTGCTTTTCAAGTCTGACCAGTATCTTTTGGTGTTGGCTTGTAACTTTGCTTCAGTGTGAAGCACTGCAGCTCTGTCTTCAGATGCACACTGACATCAGCACAATTCACTGTGCAACAAGAGAACCCTGACCGTTCATTTCAGCATCACCTCAACAATTCAACAAAGACCACTTTGCCCTACCTGCAGTCCGCACACCACATATGCGGCACATTGCAAGACTGTCACCTAAGCATTCAAAAATGGACGGTAACATAACAACAAATACAAATCTCCAACTTTGAATGCTATCAGGGTTCTGAAGAAAGTGGCCTCAAAGGAATTCATTTTGGGTGTCTTACATGAGGCCCCTCCAGCTTTGCTCAAAGTTATCAGTCACTTTTTAAAATCTCCATTTGAACGCTCAGTGATGTGGCTCAAAACACAGATACTGAAGGCACCTGGCTGCACTCTATGTTCACTTGTACCCTAGCAATTTGCACTTAAGAAAGGGTATTTTCTTTTCTTTTGTTTTTATTTTAAAACACTGTCTCTATTCTTGAAAGAAATCAATTCACCTAATCTCAAGTCCTAACCAGAAGTACACAACTGTATCAATTTAACAAATTGTAAATAAATGGCATCAGATTTTCAGGCCCCTGTTTGGCGGACACCAAATTAGCTGTCAGACATTGAATCTGAAAGAAAAGTTGCTGTCCCTTTTTTCTAAGGACAAATTAGATAGCCATTCTAGAAAGGAAGCTAGATAGCCAGCCTTGATGACTGACCTTAGGAAAAAGCACAGCATACGATTTATTCCCCAGAAGCATGATTAGAAGCAAATTTACCTTCAGAGTGCAAAACACTACAGAAAGGGTAATTTCTTATTTCTAAGATAAGAGAATTCTTCTTGCAGCATATTAAAGAGCCTCTATACCACACATACTAACATTATACCACACATACTAACATTATACCACACATACTAACAGCAGGAGATGTTTTCTGGAGGCTGTATGCACAGTACAGGGTGCAAGGAGAGGCTCTGGAAGCAAATGAAAAACTAAACTTGAGTGCAAACCCAAACACCATTATTTATTCCTGTAACCTTTTATACTGAGTTCCCATATTATAAACTTGCTCTTTGGAACACCATCAACATCTGTATCAATGATACCAAAATTTATATTTCTAAATAGGGTTCAGAAACCAGTGTGAAAACATTACCTTCTATTAAACGTATTTCTGGTCACATAGGAAACGCATTAAGCAACTGCCTAAATGCTGTCCCAATAGAAACTATTCTCTTCTTTATTTCAGTTAAGCTAAAGAGCTCAACATTTTTTAAAAGATAACTTTACCTTGTCCGGGTTCATACTGATTTACAGTCAGCTGATCAGGCTTATGTTTGATATATCCTTGCTTCAAGCATTTCTCTAAGAACGGGATACAAATTTCAGGAAGACCTGTTTACAGAAACAAAGTTTTAAGCAAGACAACTTTTACATTTTTATCCTCTCCATTTACAAAGGTATGCTGCATTATCGCTGCCTTTAAATTACAGAACATCAAATCAAAGGCAAAACTTCCACCACCCACTATAAAAAGGAAGTTGCAAGATGAGAAGCAAAATTATTATGCAGAAGATCAGAAGATGTGCAGAAAGCTCACTAAAAGATTCATCCCCTAAAAGCCTGCTAATGAATTAGATTAAATATCAACAAATAAATCTCCCCTAGTCAAGCTGGTTTTGAAAAGAGGAATGAATCTTTAGTTTACTGTTTCAACCAAAGACTTCATTTATATCCTGTAGAGTAACACCCACAGGCATGGTAACAGCAGCCCTTTCACAAATCTGTTTATCTTTATTTTTATTCTCCCCCAATAAATTGTTTCCATTTATGTTCCTCCCTCACTAATTCTATGACCAGAAAAAGTTCAAGTAGCAATGCTTTTATGACAATATATAGTTGCACTGCTAGAACCACAATGTAACCAGAATCCAGCTGCTGAAAGCTACATCTACCACAGCACCCATGCATAACCTTAAAAAGCTTCATGTTCTGTAAGAGTTTAGCCTTATATTTTACTATTTTAAAGCATAAGACCATAAGCTGACTCACTTTGTTAACACTGCTCTTAACTTGAAATAAGAATTATTCAAACTTTGTCAAAATAGCTTTCTATCCAAAGAAAAATCTTGGTGTGTTTCCAGCAAGCTTCAAATGCAAGATAAATATATATTGCAATTTATAGCATAACCCCAAAGCAATATTCAATTTAAACACTAACATTTATCTTATGTAACAAAAGCTTTTAAAAAAAGACTTTTACAATCCTGAACGCCTTATTTGTTTTGACCTCAGCTAAGGACAGCAACTCCTGGCTGCAAGTGACTGGAGAACAAGCTTCAAGCACTCGCATCAATCTGGAATGAATCCCACTCAAAAGCACTCTTCAGAGTAAGCTTAAGATACACTAATGGTTTTCCTTCTATTAGCATCTCAACTCTCTTTTAATTAGAATCTCACACCCATACCTGACTGAGGCTTACAGGCTTTACATAATGGTTCAAATGTCAGTGCAAAGTGTTATTTAATGGGGAAGTTCTTACCTCCAGGTAAAGGCTTGTCTTTATCAACACCGTTGTTATCATAGCAAAACTCATATCCAAAGTGTTTTACTCTTCTATGCTTTAAAGTCTTCTGGGCTGTGAGAGGATACAAATTCAAAGTAAGATCAGATGACATAAATAGTTCAGGCAAATTGCTGCATGCCCTCATCTCATCTGATCTCTGTTAAGCATTCCTTCGTTAACAGCTAAAACAACATACGTGACCCTTTTCTACATGGCACACACTTGTGCTTTATTACTTTCTGAAAACTCACCAGGACATTGCATTTGCTGCTGTTTAAAGTCAAACAGACTGTGCTTTTACATAAGCAAAAAGTACACATTTACTGACCCATACCTAATGCATCTTTAACCTTGGCTTAACTTCCAGACAAGCACTCGATTGATAATCTAAGGACAGAGCAAGATCCCTTACTTTGAGCAGTCACCAAGTCAACAAAGGTCAACATAACAGCACCAATGGTTTCAAGAAACAAAACTCACACAGAAACCTTGAACTGGATTCCAAGTCCAATTTACTAAGAGATCTTAATCCCCCAGAACTCAAATGAAAGAACAAAAGCACACAAAAAGTGTGCTTTGCTGACATTTTGATTTAAAAGAAGAAATGGCTTTTAAGTAGGAAATAAGCTGTCTATTAAAAACAAATCTACTTGTTTCTGGATGTGGCAATCTTATTCAAATAAATGTCTCAGCACATTGATTCAAATCACTTGCCCCCACAGATTTATCACATGCAATATAAGATCCATTTCTAAAGTATAAAGAAAAAATACAGGAGGTTTTCAAACAACAGATTTACAAATGTGCATAATTCCTCTAAACAGAAACTGCATAAAATAACAGGATAAACATAAGAAAGGTCAAAATTTCTTTGATTTTGCCCACCATTTTGAGTATTTTCATCTCCTTTCCAGTCAATGCTTTCCAGCATCTTCCTTTCTTCCTCTGGAGAAATAATATTTTCAATGACTTTGAGGTCTGGAGGCAAGCTTGTAGGAACAGAATTCTCCCAGCAAACTGCAGCACATGGAAAAAGAGCAGATTGTCTTAATGAAGCCACATAATCCCTGTGGGAATATTCACTATACATGGGTATACATTATGGCTGCAGGAACATTTGATTTAATGATTAAATGGAGCCTTCACTAAGGACTAACTTGGTGAATCCCTTTCTAACACAACAAAAAATGTTAAGGCCCAAATTTTGCTTCACAGAAAGCACTTTCTAAATTTTACTGTTTAAATTTCATAAGACTCCACACTACTCAAACACAAAGCCACCTGTGATCCTCCTGTTAAAACAACTGCAACATTATTATTATATAATTTCCTTATCGTTTCAGGACTCCAGAACTTCAGTGATTTATCCCTGCTTCCAACAACCACAGAAAAACATGATTTCTTTTTTTGAAGCACATATTTGCCATCCAGGGAAGCACTCTGTAACCAAACATGGGGGACCATAATACAATATCTAGAAGAACAGAAATGCTAGCAGTGCAGGAGCCTTCAGCTTGCTGTCCTAGTTTGGTTGGGCATTTTTAAAGCTATTCATTGGATACTGCTGTATTCAGTGTACAAACCACCACAAGGAAGTCTTACGCTAAACACTATAAAACATTATAGAAAGAAGCGCAGTTTTTGTCCTAGCTTACAGTCAGCCAAGTTTGAGGGAAAAAAAGAAACAAGCAGAAATATTATTTTATTTTCCACACTGGCACTGAGATCACAAGACTGTCATCAAACAAACAGACAATGAAATCCAACCCAATGAATCCCAAAGTCACCCGGGTCGCAGCTTAGCTCCTCAAATCAGACAACCTTCATGTGCAGCAATGAATGGTCTTGAAACTACTTCAGTGGCTGCCTATCTTACCATGCAACACAAGGACAAAAGGTAATTTTCTGTGCTGAATCTTCAAGTCTGGCTTTCATTTTCTGCTTCCTTAGACTAGCGTGCATTTAGCTACATTTACAATCTAAGAAGAAAAAAAGCAAAGAGAAATGCTATGGAAGAATTTTACGGATAAGTACCTTTTTCCACAAAATTACAATACAAAACAATGTTTTGGTCAGAGTCTTCCAGTGTTACTTCTTTTCCATTCAGGGCATCAAAGGCTTTCTTGGCATCTTCTGTTGACTCATATTTCACAAATGAATATGGTTTATTCGGTGGCATTAGAAGTGCTTCCACCATTCCATAGTTTTCTACTATCCTGTGCAGTTGATGTCTACTCATCCCATTACCCAGGCCAGCATTGGCAATAACCAGGCTCTAATTGAAGAGAAATAATAAATAAATAAATATTACCATTACTGATTACTATTGATTGATCCAAAACAAGCACTACTAAGAGTGTAGTTCATATTATAATGAAAAAAATTATTACTTGTACATTCTACATCTTCGTAGCCTGATACATGAGGCTAATGCAACATCTATCCAGTACAAATTCTGGGAGAAGTGCTTGCAAAATCTGTTACAACATCACTTCAGCTTCAAACTGGCATCTGCATGAAGTGTATCATGTGAAAAAAGTGACATTGGCAGCCATCATTTTTGAGTTTCCTAAAATGGAATTTTCCCAGAGCCCTGCTACTCTTCAAAAATCAAACACAACAATCTTCAGATACTGTGATTCTTTTTGGTTGTTAAGAAAGGCTTTCTAATCTTTGCTAAGAAGTCTTTTTGAGCATAAAGAGACAGATATTTCTTGCCATCTCACCATACAGCAGCTTCTATAAACAAAGCATTGAGTTCTCCTCCAGTACTCACATCTGAGAATTCACCCTCTTGTTCTTATAAACAAAAGGGATTTATCCCCCATCCTTATTAATACAGATTACTTTGAGCACCATGACTGATTGCTTTACTCAGGGCTTTCATAGTGATTTATGAACAAAATTATCAGAGAATGCAGAAACAAAACAAAAATAGAACTTTTCAAATGACTCTTTTACAAACAAAAAAAGTCCTTTTAAAAAAACTTTGTAAGTTCTTTTGACTTCTAGGCAACCATATACTACACCTAGACATTCAATCTAACCATGCAGGTTGAAGGAAGTTTAAGCCTCCTTCTAAGGCTAAATGAGGATGCAATCCAGAAGTCTTGATAGAGCTCAGGTGACTCCAAACTACTAATAACTCACTCAGATTGACTACATGCAATACATTTCTAGAACGCTTTCAGACAATCTTTTCCTTAAATGCTACAAATGCTCTACGACTTCTGAAAGCAGCTGGCAAAGTGTTCAAAAGTTTCAAATGACAGTGTTTCACTTTCCTAAGAGACTGAAAACGAGGTTTAAAACTGAACAGAGGGATTATTAAAAAATATTTTAAAACAAGTGAACATTGCTGTGATTGTGCCTATTGCGATGGCTCTGTTAACTTTTAAATCTACATCCTACTGTGCATACTGATCTCATCTTTCAAAGGTGATCAAACACTTATTTTCTAGAATCTTACTAATGGGAAGCACAGGTGTACAGAGGAAACGAGGAGACTGATAGCAGTGCTTTCACTGGCTGAAGGCACACTGCCTACACAGACCTTCTGTACACAACAAGAGCACTTACAGCAACTGTTCACATTCTCATGAATGAGCAATTTCAGTATAATCAAACTCTTACACAAGGACTAAAAGCAATTTCTGTATTCTCAAGTTTATCACTAGTGCTATTAATTTGTTTCATATGTCTTTTACTAAAACATTCTGTCATCCATGAGGAACTTAGTGAAATTGTAAACTACTCACTGGATACATTAGAAAGATGATTTGATGTCTGGGGCAGTGACAAGAGGAATAAAATCCTGGATCATGTACTCATCTCCACGCAGAATGAGAAGAACACAGCCCTACTCCAAAGAGCTTTCAAAATCTCCGCAATTGCTGGGTCATTTTAGGATATGCCCATATGGTGTGAAATTTGAGTGAAAACTAAGCCCAATTTTGTAACAAACGAGTAACAAAGCATAAAGAGGCATAAAGACTTAACAGATACTTATGTATCAGAATGGGAAGAACTAGAGAGATCAAGATGAACACAGCTACAGTAAATGATACAATAGTACAATGTGCTTCAAGTCAAGTTAGCAACTCCACACAACCCACAGAACGAAGTAAGACACTTTAATTTCTCCTCTATCTGAAAGATCTCGCCATGCACGTTTTGCTGCAGCAGTATTTGCGAGGTGCCTCTGATTTGCTGTAACTCTACGGAAGCAGAAAACTAACAGATCAAAAAGCTGGGCAATTTTCTGGTAGGTTGGGGAATAAATTAACACGGTAAAGTTCAGTGACTGTTGTAAAAAAGCAGAACTATCCTCTCTCTCATTCCTTTTGTGTGAGGGAAGCGAATGATCTCCCCTTTTTAACAGCTACAAATCAGTCAATTAGTTCAACTCCTACATAATCAGAGCCTAAAACAGGTAAGGTGAAGAAAATGAGGAAAAAATTGCTAAGGTATACATGCTTTTTAACAGGGAGTTAACAGATGAGACAAATTATACTTGATAAAGAAGTATATCAGGAAGAAAGATACAAAAGCTAAGGGCCAAAGAGAAAGGGAAAATAAGTTATCACACAGGCCTTTCTCCTGTTTCTCTATCTCCTTCAAAAAGGTAACATTTTTCATGCTCTGCTGCTTTCCCCAGCTCAGGGAACTACTGTTTAAGATTTAAATATATACATATATACGTATATATATCCAAAAGCTGTCACAGTCTCTCCACCAGTATTAAACTGATGAAGTACAGTTCTGCTTTGAAAGCAAATAGCACAGAAAACCCTCAATCTCAGTAAGTGCTTTTAAAAGAATCACATTTTAACCAACACGTACATGAGGGCAGAACACAGGCAAGCAGTATTTTCTCCTACCATCAAAACCAGAACTGTCAATCACCTGTGTAGCATGGGAGATGCACTCAATGCCCTCGTGTCTCATCAGCGTATGCTGGGCTCTGACCTGCTTCCTCAGTATCTTCTTCTTCACTTTGTGGACTTTCAAATGCTCTTCAATGTTCTCGCCAGTTTCCATGCCTGTGACCTGGGAAGCAGAAGTAACAACACCTAGTAAGTGTTTACCCGAAAAACGTAACGCTTCAGTCTGTTACAGAGACGTGGCAGATGTTACTGTCTTTTAAGTCATCTTCAGGATAGTAATAAGAATTCTAATAATTCCAGATTTTACGAACTACTGCAGGATGACACAAGAGTTCACAAACTGCGCTATTCCTCAGTCAGTAGCACAATTTCCCCCATCCTGGAAGTACTGTTATGTAGCTCTTTTATCAAGAGAATCTTCCACAAAATAAGTCTTTATAAAAGACTGTCACATCTTCCAGTTCCTTTTCCTCTTTATTCTTTTATTCACAGTATCTCTATATCCAATTCTGGTTTCTCTGCTGCCTGCCCCTCCTCCTGTTTTCCACACAGTAATTTCAGTTATTGCATTCTTCTCTTTACATATTATCTCCTAAGCAGGTCAAGTAAAAATACACACATGAAACTGCCAAGAGATTTGTAATATCTTAGCTTCTAAGCTGGTCAGTGCCTCAGCAAACACTCAAGCTGGAGACAAAATGTTTCCATTTCGTCTCCTTTTTCACAACTGTCACTTTCAAATGACTATGATATACAGAAAAAATAGCTGGTTTTGAGAGCAAAAAACCAACATGTTCAGCACTTAGATGTTAGAAGACCAGCAACCAGGATGCTCCACACCTCATACACTTGTACATCTCAAAATGGTGTTTGTCAATTAACAACTAAATTTAAGGGCAGCAGAGCATCATTTACCTGCCAATGTGCTTCTGAAGTATAACCCACTCGCTGGGCTGCTCCAGGTTTTGTTGCACCTTTTGCCACCCAGACCACAGCACATTCCTACACCCAGCTGAGCTTACCCTCTTTCTTTTTCTCATTCTCACTTCACCTCAAAAAACATTGAGGATTTTATTGTTTTTTTCAGTTTGTTTTTAAGAAAAAAAAAAAGTTACACCAATCACTGTTATATTTACTTATTTAAATGTCAGCTGCATTCACAGACTATCACCTATTTGCATGTCTTCCAGCTTGCAAGACAGCACAGTTGGTACCTGGTACTGCACATACTATCACAATAAGGGGACAGTTATGTTCCAGTGTATCATAGGAAAATGGTGAAGGTAAAAAAAAAAAAAAAAAAAAAAGTTTCATATTAATACTTGATGCAGGTTGGGTTTGAATGCCTTAGTAAACATTTTCTTCTACACAAATGCAAATATGCAAATAAAATTATTATTAAAATCTTACAGAGTTGCATAGGAGCTGTAAATATAAATTTCGTGCCACTGCTGCAGCACAAAATGCACAACTACTGTCTGCTCTGAAGGGAAATTCTTTAAAGGGGATTGGAATGACAACAGCAGCTAGTGGTAATAAGACTTCAAAAAGGAACAAAATAAGCACAGCTTATGAAGACTCAAGTCTTCTGCCTCCCTCCTCACCATTTGTTGGTTCCTCCTACTACTCCTACTCTTCCACTCCCAAACCCAATTCAAATTAAAACAATAGTTAAAGAAATGAACTTACAACAACAATTTCTGGCAACTAGCAAGTTACTCGCATAGTAGGCATCAATGATTCTATCCTGAAACTGTTCCAGAGATGTTACATGCTTGGCTGTAACAGTTCAAGGCCTGACCTTTTGCCCAAGCAGCAGTATTGAATTTTTATAGGATCCTGACTACATAAAGCTCATATATCTGAGCCCAACAAAGAAACTAATAAATGATCCATCCTACCACTAAGAAAAACATACCAGCTCCTAGGGTCTCTATTCAGAGCTAATTCAATCATAACCCAGAAATATGCAGCGTACACATAATACAGAAAAAGGTGACCAACCTCTAACATGGAACAGTACCAGAAAAAAGGAGGAGACCACTGAAATTATTTCCCATGACTTCAGAAACATACAGAAGCTGAAAAGCTCAATGGGTTATAAAGTCCTTCCTGTAAGATTATTTTTCACTGTGAATCTTTTAGCAATTGTCTCCCATCTCTCTTCATAATAATAACCCTTACGAAGGGCTTTTTGCATATTTTATACTCTACTTCTTTGGTGCTGTCTTCAGTAATCATTTTCCCTTCCCAAAGGAAAACACGCATGCAATTGGCAGTTCAATCCTTGACAAAAATCACACTTGCTTCCAAAGGCAAAAAATTCACAATAGTTTTAACACTGAGTATTCACCTTAGCTACAATCAGGGTTAAACACACACAGAAGTCAACTTAACCTTCCTTAGCTTAATGACCAAGAAATCTCACACTTGCTTAGATATAAAAAAAAAAAAAAAAAAAAACAAAACCAAGTTTTCATCTTACTTGGGGAAGAAAGAACACAAAATAAAATACAGGGCAAAGTTAAAATGCCCATTCATCTTGCTTGCATAAACAACTAAAAGAATATTACGGGAAATATGCATTGCAGGTTGTATGGCAAGAAGCTGCTGATATTTCTTTGCTAGTTTTGAGACAGACTTCAAACCTGATCATTTCTTTGTTGGAGCTATTGGCCACTGTCAGGAAGAAGAATGGCATGAGAAGAAGATAAGAAAACAAGTAAATGAATACAAATGTATCTGATAGAAAAAGAAAAAAAGTCTCATGAAAATAGCTATTAAAAGTACCTTCCCTGAAGTGCAAGGAATAGCCTACCCTTCCCAGGATTCATCTGATTTGCAGACTTGTTCAGCAAGCTCATCCATGAACGAGCTGCCCAACTGACAGACTAGATCACACTCTGACCAGCCCAGTCTTCTTTGCCACAGCCAGGTAAAAGAAGGCCAACAGCTCCACTATTCTTCTCTAACTAGGAGGAATAAGCAGTCTCAAACTGTTCCAACAAAAATGTAAGAAATACACCTTGGAAACATGTAAATCTGGTTCAGAAGAGGTATGGAGGCTACCTGTGTTTGAGGCCAGGATGTGGAGCCCGGGCAGCCTGATTTAGTGGTTGGCAATCCTGCCCATGGCAGGGGATCAGAGCTTGACCATCTTTAAGGTCCATTCCAACGTAAGCCACTCTATGATTCTATCTGTATTTCCCAGACCAGTCAGACCACTACCAGGTGGTCTCTGCAAAACAGAACCAGATGGAAGAACAGCTCAGCCTCTCACACAGTGCCCACACCTCCTCAACAGGGTGACCGGATCCCAGGGGAAAGCAGCTCAGCCAGGCCTTGGACAAAAGGCCCCACAAACCTCCACATCCCTCAAGCAAAAATAAAGAGGTCGTGCCTCAGTACTTCGGCAACGACAGAGATCAGTGCTGGAGGACTACTTTCTATCCTTCCACTACCTCTGAGCTAACCACCACCACAAGGGACAGTCGGGTCCGACCGCTGCCTCAACAAAGGCGCTCACAGCCCGGCTCCTCTCCCAGCCGGGCCTGAGGTCTCTGCCTCCTCACACACGCTGCTACCCGAAGTCAGCTCTGCAGCCACAAAAACAAAGAGACTGCTGTAATTTCAGGAATCACATTCACTTGCATCCGAGTAAGTAAATAAATGCATCTGGCGGCATCTCACGTCCGCCAGCACGAGGCCAACACGAAAGGGGGAGATGGAGCACGGAGCGCTCAGCGCTGCTCTCACGGGCTTTCATAAGGATTAGAAAAACACACCGACACAGCTCCAGCAACGCTAGCTCGGGTTACAGCAAACCCCTGAACGGGTCTAACATGACTGCAGAAAGCCAGCTCCCCGCACACAGCCGCCCCACCGCTCTCCCGCCGCACGCTACCTGGCAGCAAGCCGCCATCTTGGGGCGGGCACACGCCGCTCCGCCCGCCGTCATGGCGGCGCCCCGCCTCGCGGGTGGCTCCGTGCAGGGTGGGGATCCCTTCTTTATCGAACGAGTGCCGTGAAGCCGCGAGGTGGGGAAGGTGCGGAGGTCCGGTGCACTCGGTGTTCTTTGGCGGGTTTTCCCGAGCTGTGGCAAGCGCCTCGTCGCTGTACCCGAGGAGCCGGGCGGCCGTGCTGGGGGAAGGGAATGGCAGCCGCCTTCTCGCTCAGCCACTCCAGCAGACTCACCGAAGTGCACAGGCTCATCCTCCTCCTGGTGAATAAATTCTTCCTTGAGTCGGCAGCCGAAGCAAAGCGACGTTGGGACTCGCGTCCCCGGCTGGGCAGCGTCATGGCCGCGCACCGGGCTCCGCTCCTTCACAGAGGGCGCGTACGTCTGTGCAGAGCGGGGCAGGGCAGCGCTGCCCCCCCGCTCCTGCCCACAGCCGGGACCAAGGCTCTCATTCTCTTTTTTTTTTTAATCTGCCACAAGACTGAAGTTCAGCGTTACCTACTTTTGGCAGGCTCATTCTCACTGTAGCTTGTTATCTAAAAACTACTTTTTTTTTCCTTTCTCTATTTAACCACCGGGCTGATTTATTTTCTCTCTCTCAGCCTCCTTTGTGGATAGTCAACCTTTTTCAAGATAAATTAGATGTGGGATTCCCCGGTGTGTAGCATGCAGGGCAGCCAATAAGCCTTGTAGACATGCGCTCAGAAGCCAGCTCTGTGACTTTGTCCCAGATCCATGCTCTGGATTAGTCTTCCCATGCAGTTAGGAGGGGCTCTGCTTACCCAGGAAAAAAGAGTTGTCTCCCTTGGGGCACCCACCGTGACCTGTCCTGGGAACACAGCTATCCAACGTGCGGGAGGTACAAGCACACAAAGGATGTGAGGCTGGTAGGTCATGTATCCCAGCCTGTGAAGATAGTTCGTGGTCACAAAGGGGATCCTTCTTCCTTCTTCCACCTGTCAGTGGCCCTCCATCACTTTCCATTTTTGATCCATGCTGGACACACAAAGCATTGTGACAGCACAATTCTTCTGATTCGGTCTTCTCACACATACAATGTGAATATTCATAGGATCAAAGAATCACCAAGGTTGGAAAAGACCTCCAAGACCATTCAGTTCAACCAGCCACCCACCACCAACACTTCTCACCAAAACACATCGATACGTTTTTTTAACACCTCTAGGGATGGTAATTCCACTGCTTCCCTGGAGAGCCTGCTCCAGTGCCCGATCACTCTATCAGAAGAAGCACCTCTCAGTGTTCAACCTGAATCTCCCCCATGCAACTCATTAAGCAACATGTCAAATGCCTACCTAGTAATAATATTGCAGGGAGTTTGTTAATTCTTACAGACTGTAAATATTGGCATTATCATGTCTTTTTGTAAGCCCGAATGAATGGGGGAAAGAAAATCCTCAGAGTGCCATCAGCTGCTTCTCTATCAGAATATTCTCTGAGGCTCACAACTCTGGAAAGCATGCAACCTGAAATCTACTAAAAGAATAATTTTAATTAATTCTGTTTGTACTTCATTACCAGTTTGTTCTGACAAGTGGAAAATACCTGCCCAAAGGTTGTTTTTGTTGAGTGCCCACATTCTGATTCAAAGCCCTGAATGCGTGGGCTCCCAGTTCCTGTACTTGGCTGTCTGTTGTGTTTTATCCCCCTGGGACACATGCACTGATGGTGGATGAGAAATATAACATAGGCTTAGTGGGTTGTTATATTTCAGAGAACAAACCAAGGGATTCTGGCAGCTCATCCTGTATTCTCCCACCATCATTTGGGTTTATTCAGCCTTATTCTTTTCAAAATTGCTTTCTGGGGGAGAAAAGAATTACTGTGTACCTCTTTTCTTAAAATATCTCTTTATGGTTAATAGAGTCAAGAATTTGGGATGTAGATTGGAATAACCTTGAATAACCTTGGAATAACCTAGCCTTGTCTAGTGGTTGACAGCCGTGCCCGTGGCAGGGGGATTGAAACTAGATGGTCATGATGGTCCTTTTCAATCCAGGCCATTCTTTCATTCTATGATTCTATGATTTTTTCCCTTGTAAACACAATGAGATTTTACCTCCATAAACAACATTCACACCTAAGAAAATTTCACCAATTAAAAGAAAAATAAAAAAAAAAAAAAAATTAAAGACTGGCCGTGTTTTGTTTTTGTGTTTTTGATATAAGCTTATTTTGATCACATCAGAACTTCTGTTCCCCTTACAGTTTAAGCCCTAAGCATTTTGCAGTCCACTCTAATGCTAGAGTTAACGTGAGCACAGACTCCTACAGATACCATTGTGCTTATTGACCACATGTTAAAATATATCTCCGTATGGTTAATGATACTGTCGCTGAGTAACCCACAGAAATCTCACAGGGATTCAAAAAGCATTTGCATTTATGTGATTACAGTCTCTGATTAAAAGTATGCCCTATGTTGTTAGCTGTTTGCCTATTCCCTATACACTTCAAATGATAGTAAGTAAACAGATAACAACACTTCTGTTTCCTTCAACAGAATAGAGGTTACTGATCCATACGTGGAAGGACAATCTTACTTCCTTATATGCTAATGCAGTCCAAGCCATACTGTAGCCTAATGTGATCACACTGGATTTCCATCACTTTCAAACCCAATTAAAAGGAAATCACAGCAAAATAGTAGGATTTGTTGTATTAAGTCTCTTGATTTAAGATGCTGCTATTTAAGAATCATGACAAATAGGATGTGTTTCAGGATAACAGTTCGTTACAGAAATAAGAAACCTCTTA